AAAAAAAATTTTTTTTTTTTTTTTTTGGTACCAGGGATCAAACTCAGGACCTTGTGCTTGTGAGACAGGCAGCAGAACCACGGAGCCAAATCTCCAGCCCCAAAAATGTTTATTATTTTAAACCACAACATTTGTGGGTATTTTTTTGTTGTTGTTAAGCAGCAATACATAATTCATATAGATAGATATTGGCTTAACACAATAACTACATATACCTTAATTCTAAAACCAGCATCTTCCATAATGAGGAAACCCTATAGGGATTCCAGCAAACCTCATTCTGAAGGAAGTAGCCAAGGCTATTAAGACTAGAAAAGACAAATAAAACATAGGAGTTGGGAAAAAACAAATATATTATCTGTATTTTCAGATGTGCAAGGATATCCGGAGAACCTAAAGCAGCGATGGCGAAACTTTTGGAGACCAAGTGCCCCAACCGCAACCCCAAACCCACTTATTTATCGTTCGTTAAGTGCCAACACTGCAATTAAATCTGAATACTGAAGTTTTAGTTTAGAAAAAAGCAATTCATACATTAATATCTTTTGTTTTAAAAGACAAATAACACACATGCCATAAGTTCGCCACCAGCAGTCTAAAGAATCCATGATATGACTGAAACAATCTAAGATCTCAGCAAATTCCAAGATATAAAGTTAGAAGATACAACAAATGACAAAGCTCATCAACGATGGCAAAGCAAAAAGGTAAAAATATTTTGGAATAGACTCTAGAACTTTGAAAACCTATAAGAAGACTAGAAAGCACTCAAAAGGAAAAAAAAGTGACCTAAAAAATGGAGGGCCAGGATGCTTGTTTAACATGTATGAGGCCTGGGGTCCAATCCCCAGCACCACCCAAAAAGGAGAAAAGCATGTTTTGTTCTTAAGAGACAAACACTGAAGTATTTAGGGACAAAGAAAGAAAGAGCCATGATTAACTTAGTTTTCAAAACTTCAAAAAAGAAAAAAAAAAAACCAGGAAGAAATACACATATACAAATGTACAAAAAGAATAAAGGCAAAAACTTGACAAAGTACATGGAGTTAAACACCACCAAAATGCTAAATAGAATCTAATCAAGAGGAAACAATCAAATGTACTTTACAAACACCTTCTTAAATGTAAACTGGGATAATTTAAGTATGAACAGTATGTCAGATAATATTGAATAATTACTACTTTCCTAGGTCTGATAATATATTTGCAACTTACTTTCAAAATGTCCAGTCACAACAATAGAAACAAATAGTGTCTGTGCATGTACGCCAATATTTTTTGGGGGGATACAGAGCTAATGTAGCAGAATATTAAAATTGGTTAAATTTAGGGAAAAGGTACAGAGGAACTCATTATACTATATTTTCAAACTTCAAGGGATTTGACAAAAGGAAATGATAGAGGCTCTGAGCATGAAGGGGAGGCACACACAAGTTGGCTTTCTTTCCTTTACCTCATAAGAACCCTGACAAATAATGAAAAGAACAGGAGATGTCAAAGCAGGTCATCTTGCAATGAAGTGAGAGGGCAGCTAGGAAGAGAAATATAAGATGCAGCTATCTTTCTTGGTGTAAGTTAACAGACATTACAGCTGATGCATTACAATGCAAAGGTATAAGCATATTATTTAGCAATATGGAGGCAATCATCAAAATAAAACTAATGCGGTATGGAGGATGCACAGAAAGACAATTTCACTGTGTCCTTTTAACATGTTATATCACCCCACTGCTTATACCTCGTATCATATAGAGAAATAACAAGCACAGATTTCCCCAATCTAGAAGGCTCTGTGACAAGGCGCTCTGCCCAGAGAAAATGAATGGTTCAGCAGCTTCAGTACCTTGAGATGAGACGCTAAAAACACAAATTTAAATGTAAAATATTTTAAAACACTATTGCATTCAATGAAACAAGGCTACCACAGGAGCGTGATCATAATACCAAAAAGTAACATTATTACATCAAAATGACATATCCTATTATTTCAAATAAAATTATTTCCATTCTTGTTTTTTAAAAGTTTGAATAAACAGACTCACAGTTCCACAAGGTTTGGAAGCTTCTGAGCAATGTTTTCTGGCTGAAAATTAAAAATTCAGAATTAAATTTTAGTTTTGAAAAATGTATAAACACTTGTCAATGGCTTAAACACAAAATGTAAAAATAATGAGTCAGCAGGTCTGGGTTTCAAGTCACATAGCACGTACCACAACTGACAAACTTGAACACTTAAAAGCCACATCCCACAGCAAAACTAGAACCTCATATTCCAGTCACAGAGGAAAGTAAAATGTGCTAAATAACAGACACAGTCCGGGAGAGCACCATGTGAGGACACAGCCGGAGACCAGAGATGTAGCCATAAGATAAGCGCTACAAGGATTGCTGGCAACTCCGGAGCCCCACATGGGACAAACCCAGACCACACCCGCATTCTGGACACTTGCCCCCAGAACTCTGAGAGGATGAAGGTCTGCTGTTTAAACCACTCAGCATGAGAGTTTTGTCACAGCGGCCCAGGAAGGTAACACACCCCCAGCTCCCAAGTCATGTTCCTAATAAGACAGTACAGAAGGCAAGTCCACAGGGACCCAGGTTAGGTATTAAGACCTAAAGAGGTTTACAATGAGCAGAGGCTGGGCTTCCTGTGGTGCAATGGAGGACAGAGGGTCAGGCCTGAATGAAGGTCCTGAGACTAAGGTAGAGGTGTGGGGAGACAGGGAGAGGAAACTGGCATGTGGGAGAAGCACCCTTCCACAGAAGGAATCCTAGAACAATTTCCTTCACGGGCAGAAAGCAGGCGTCTCTCTTCTGGAGGTCCTGGGCAGAGGAAAAGCCTCCTGTAAATACCAGACAGCCAGCCTAACATATAAAAAACCCCCTCCCCGCCCACACTTCAAATTTACATGTATGCAGATATATGTTGTTAAGACTAAAGGAGCACAAAGGACATTTTTTCATTCTACATTCAAACATACTGTAAGTGAAGTTAGATATTAATGACAAAGAATCACAAATGGCTTTTTAGGAGAAATCAGGTCTGACTTAAGTCTGAAAGGCAAAAATAAATTAATTATGAGAGGCTGACATGAGGTGGTGAGGATAGTCCTGGCTAGCTTTCCAAGCAGAGGAAGTAACATAGGAAACGGCAAACGAGATAGGAGGCATGCTTTAGGAAAGTGAAAATACAATCCATCTTGCTGTAATTCCTGAACAGCAGTCTTTAAACTTAGGTCTTCAAAATCCTGTTATAGGGCCAGGGATTTAGCTGTGGTACCGCAACTGCCTGGCAAGCACAAGGTCCTGAATTCAATCCCCAGTAATTGAAAAAAAAAAAAAAATCCTGTTATGAACACAATTGTGTCAATAGAAAAACTATTAGGTTTGTAGTGACAAAGTAACTTTTCATCAACTTGAAGCTTGAAGAAACTTATACTGATTGTTTTTAGGAAATGGACCGGGATCGCTATTCTCTTTCTACTTGTGTCACTGGAATTTTTAACAATAAATGTCTTTTGTAATTGAAAACATTAAAATTAAGTTTTAAAATGTAGTAGGCACAGTAGAAGCTGTTACATAATTGGCTAGTCAATCACACTGTTTCCGATTTGAGATGGAAACACTTGCCCGCTGGGCTATCAACCTAGATGCATAATGATTTTGCAGAGAGGGCAAGAAACACACCATTAAAGGCTTTTATTTTATACTGAAGAATAACTTTGTTACAGTCCAAAACACAAAGGAAATCTGCCTGATTGTTTTAGATAAGGGAACATTATTAACTTTATATTGGCATGCAGATACATTTGAATATGAAGCAATAGTATCCCAAGCTGCTTATATACACAGCTTTGCCCTTGATAAGCAAATGTCACTGAATATGAATACTATTAAAAAGTAAATGAAACATTTCCTGAATACCAACTCTTGACAGAACCACCGTATTTAGTTTTAAAATTGTGCAAGCTGTGGTTCTCTACCCTCAATATTTTTATATCTATACATGTAATGAGGTCCTTCAAAATGCCCTTCCTCATATGTTACTAGGGATCTATCCAAATCCCTGCAATGTTTCTTCAGTGCTGTTGTCTCTCCTAGTAAGGAGAATACGCAGGTCCACCTATAGACACACATACAAGGCATCTCAACAAAACTACAGAACCAGGAGGGGAGGTGCTTGCTTACAGCTGCCACTATAAAAAGTAAAGACTTGTCCACAAAAGAAATGCTGTTGGGTCCTCCTCTATCTTCATCTCTTACAATACGGATGCTGTACCTGGCTAACTCACAGGACAGCCAGTCATGCTTTCTGGCTCCATCACCCAGTATCTTAATCTTTTGTGACAAACTACTTAGTTCTTTTGAGTTACAGCTATATACACAATTAAGTGCTAAAATGCTTTTGCCGCCCAAAGGGCACTGTCATTATTAACAAGTAAAATTGTGTTTTTATTTAAAAATAGGCACACTGACCTTGATAAAATTGCAGTTCATGAGAATGCTCCCTTTTAAAACTACCAAAACAAACAAACAAACAAACAAAAAACCCAACCACACACATATAAACAAATTGCTTATGAATAAAGGTTCAAAAAGCCTGGCAAATAAGCAGCCCATTACATAGGCTGTGGCTGACACCTACTGGTGTTCTACAATATTCTCTGCTTTCCAATACCACTTTCAGCAATGTAGCTCAATACTATATGGCAATTGAACATTTTTCATTTTTATGCTTCTATAAATTTAGGTATACTGATAGATTAAACAACCATAATTGATGTCAAAATTTTTGTTACTCGGTAGGGAACTGAGCTTAATGTTCAATTATGAATGGCATTCAAGCTAGTTTATCCTCATCTGTAAGATTACAAGTTACTCAGCTTTTAAATTTTTTGAAATTTAAAATCCTTTCAAAACCAATACGTTTAAAGTGCTTCTCAAATGTGTCGTTATGTTACGGAAGGAATCAGTAAGTGACACACAGAGAGGCAGCAGAATGGAAGTAAAATAATAAATTTATTCATTGATAAGGGTCGATCACACATAAGCCATGCCTGGATGGATGACACACTGGGTTACAGCTCCTCCTTTTATAGGGTTTCACAGCCTTGACTTCATTTGGGTGGTTACATTTCATTCTGACAGTTCAAATCACAGTCACAGAATAGTTAATCTTTTCAACCCAGATGTAACAGTTCTTTGCAGTTGGGGAGTTTACCTTTAAGATTCGCCTAGTTATCCATTGTAGCCCATAGAGAGGGGGTGTTCGGGGTCAGGCAAGCAAATGTTAGCAATGGGTTCTTTCATTTAGACACTTTTATGATCATGTGGCTCCAGTCTCTTCGGAGCTCAAGACCTTGACATGCCCTGTTATCTCAGGGTGAGACCAAATGTCTCATTCAGCAATTAGTGCCTTTCAGTTTTGAGTGCAACAAAACACACTGCTGTTAGAGACAGCAGAAGCCATTTTACATTGTAACACTTTATAGGTTTTTGCTATTGATAAAAGTTTTCTCTATCAATTACTGTTATTTCCTTCTTTTCTTTTTCACAGTTGGACACAGAAAAGTTTTAAAAGACAAATAACCTGTACCCAAATTCCTGGAGCATAAATATCTCCTATTAAACTACTTAAAATTGTTTTTCTAAACTGAGCCAAAGATTCTCTGCATTAAATCTTACTCATACTATCATTAAAGTAGACTTCAGCAAACACACGTAGTATAAAACTTGCCTCAAATTTTTCAATCAATGTGCTTTATAATACACTTTTAAAGTCTCCTTAAATGAGAACAAACACTTTAAATATCTTGCAAACGTGCTCTGTGATATTCTTTGGTAGTTTCTGGGGAATGGTGACGTCCTAGCTTCTACTGGGCACCTGGTAGAAGTGCACATCTTTCTCTAAGCTGGCTATGGCTTAGTGACTTCCTTCGGTCAGGGAAATTAAGGTCCAATGGAAGCCTTTAAGAGCTTGAGTATGAAAGACCTCACCCTTTCCACAATGATCTCCAAATAGTAAAGTTTTGCCAGGCTTCATCTCTAAATGAAGACACCACAAACCAGAGTCCCCTAGCAATCTAAGAGAGTAAGGCAGTATAAGAACTATTTATGCTGTTACAAGCCATGAGTAATCTCAGTTCAATAAAATCTGCATCACTCTGGCCTCCAACAACCCATTTCAAAGAAGTTACATATTGAAAAGCATTTTGGCTCTTACAGCTTCAAAAAGAATTAGGTAAGGGGCTGGGTATTTAGCTCAATGGTTCTGCTGCCTGACTCGCAAGAGCAAGGTCCTGAGTTCGATTCCCAGTACCAAAAAAAGAATTAAGTAAAATGCATCTGAAACCTTATCTAAGACCATGTACAAAAATTAGCTTCAGCACTCCTACCAGAAATCTCAAAGCAGAGGGAGGGTCTGTTCAATGGACTGGAAGCCTGAAAACGAAAAGCCAAAATAAGCTTTTACTCTTTATAAATTGATTACCTCAGGTACTTGTTATAGCAATGGAAATCTGATGAAAACAATATACAAACAGCCAACAAACACATGAGAAAAGATGCTTAACACCAATGAAATACCACTTCCTACCTACTAGAATAGCTATAGCAATAAACAATGGAAAATACCAAGCATTGGCAGGGATATGGAGAAAGTGGAACCCTTGTACACTCCCAGTGGTAACATATGGATCAGCCACTGGAGAACACAGTTCAGCAGTCCTTCAAAAAGTTAAATACCAAATTATTATACAACCCTACAATTCCTCTATGCATATTCCCAAAATAACTGAAAACAGGTCCTCAAACATGTACATGTGCACACACAATCATAGCAGCACTATTTACATAGCCTACAGGTAGAAACAGCCCAAATATCCACCCATGGATGACATGTGGATATGCAAAATGGCAGCAACCCCACACAAGGTAATAAGTACTGAGGCATGTTAAAGTGTGATTTGGATGAATTTTGAAAGCACAAAATCCTTCTAAGTGAAAGAAGCCAGACACACAAAATCACATGCTGCATGATTCCATTCACATGAACTATTCAGAACAGATAAATCCCAAGCAAGA